CAAAAAAATATATATACAAATTGGATTAATTATTGCAGGGTCAGCAGATTTGAGATTTGTTGGACCTCTTTTGCTTTTCATTAGTGTCACAAGACCCACTAGTTGTACAATATAGAGCAGGGTTTCTCAACATCAGCAGCTTTAAGATGTGTGGACTTCAACTCTCAGAATTCCCCAGCCAGCATGCTGGCTGGGGAATTCTGGGAGTTGAAGTCCACACATCTTAAAGCTGCTGATGTTGAGAAACCCTGATGTAGAGATTTGGAACGACAACTCAAGTTGTTTTTGGTCTAGGATTTGTTTTCAGTACCCAAACTAAGCTTTCTGTCCTTTCACACACTCCTGGGGATCTGCAGAGTTTTCTTTTGGCCTAATTTAGCTGGAGGAAGATAATTTCATTGTTGCTGTTGTGAAAACAATTGCGAGAGAGAGGTCCTTGCAGGCGGCGAGTAAATCAGCAGAGCCAACCGGTAGATGCTGATCTATATTCTGCTCATCTCTCTCTCATCTCTGGATAAACTTAATATGAACTATATCTGTTCTAGGTACACAGATAATGAAGGTGGAAAATAATGTCCCATGTGAATGATAATGACTCTATGCGGATACATGTCTTCTATTTATAGGTTTCCAGTAATCCTTCTTTTGTTCAAATAGGACATCTCCAGTTCATCTCCATCTCTCTCTTTTTATAGCTGCCAAATAGGTGTGGAATAAAACATTGTTTTCTAGAGGTGTGTAAAATGTTCCAGATGAGAATTGTCTAGAATTCAAAGTGCCCTGTTTTGAGTCTAAAACACATTTTATCATGCTTAAAATGGGGTATTTCAATTCTGAAAAAAAATTTGCTTACCCCCAGATGGATTTTTAATAGGGTTGATGGGAGAACAGGAAAATCTTGATTCACTTCCAGGAATTTGGTTGCAAATTATTGGTTTCCTGCTGTTTTTAGATATAACAAGTCTTAAGTGTTGTGGTCCTCTCTTCCTCTTGAGGGTGATCCCCTCACTCTTTTTTCCCAACCCAAGAGAGCTTCTGCTTCTAAATACTGACAGCTTACTATATTACTTGAACCTGGAACTGTGGTAAGCATAAATCATGGTTAATTTAAGACACTTTCAGAAACCATGGTTGGAAACTGGGGTGTTTTAAGGTAATGATTTGCTGGTGTCTAAAGTTGTACCGTGTAAGAAAGAAGCTTCCATTTTTTAACCTGTTCCCAACCTGAAGAAAGACATGTTGCTTTTGACATTGCTTTCAAAAGAGAAGGGAATTTTGGAGAAATTCCTCGTGGATGATTAAGATTTTCTTGCATGCATTTATCATCAACTTGGTCAAGGAGTACATGTGGTCATTTTGTCTTTAGCTATGTAATCATCTCTCTAGGGGTCTGTAGCCACATTGGATTCTTATCCTTCCACTTCATCCCACAAAAAGGCATCATGAAATAATTTCCCCTGAAGGAGGCTTCCCCCAAAGGAGGCTTCGGGGTGAATAGAAGACAGTGTAACACCTCTGTCAGGAGCACAACACTAGCATTGTCCATGACCCCCCCCCCGCCCCAAATGAAATCAATTCAAAAACACTAAGAGAAATGCAAAACAAATTCTTAGTCAGCCTGAAAATTTGGTAGAAAATCAGAAGCCTCTTTTATAGAGGAAGAATACATTTGAGAGATTTTTACCCAATATTCTATTTTTAAAAAAGCAGAAACAAAAGCTTTTGAACTCCTTCTTCATGACCTAGATAAGGAAGAGAGAGGGGTTTGCAGACTTGAACTAATTGTAGTTCACCTGGGTTACACTAAACCATGGATGCTTGTTCCTGCCTTTCTCTAAGAGTTATTGCTCTGTAATCTTGATTTATCTCCCAGTCTACCCACACATCTGCAAAATGTCCTGGCACTGAGTAGAATGACATTACCTTTCACCTGAAATTTGAGAATAAAATTTTGATATGTGAACAATAGAGCAGTAAATCTTCATTTCAGCAAAGCAAGTGAGGCTTTTTCAAACATTGGGGACACCAATAAAGGTTTCAAACCTGGATTTAGTTGAAGCATTTCTCAGGTCCTTGCCTCCTTCCTAGGTATCGCTAGTTCAAAGTGTCTTGAAGAGCAGCTGGGAAAAAATGTTCTTGATTCATAAAGAGATGTTGCTGTTTGGAGAGACAGTTGTAAGTTATTACTACTTCCCTGAAACTGCAGCTTCCCCCAGATGTGTTGGGGGTTCATGTCCCAGAATTCTCCACCTCTGTGGCCAAAGGCTGGGGATTCTGGGAATTACCGTCTCAACATTCCTGGAAGGCACTATGTGGGAGAGTTGAGTTAGATAAACAAAAAGCAAATTATTTTCCTGTTTTCGTGACGACATGTGCAAATGTTTCATATGATTGGTAATGTGCTATAAAGAAATATACCATTACAAAGGACCATACTGTGGTCTTGTGGCACATCTGAAAAATATCTAAAATTGAATAAAAATAGAAGCCTCCCTCTTGGGAGGACCTCTTTATGGTCTTTTCCCTAATCCCATCCCAGACCACTACCGTGTATAGCTATAATTATCTAAGCCATCTGAATTCCTTATCTAATGCTATTCTGTGGGCATTCACGTGAAACTGCTGAGGAAAAGTCAGAAGAATTTGCTGCATGGAGTAGCAGGAATTTAAAACAATACCAAATCTTAAGGAGCACAGTTCTACTTCGTAAGCCCAAGAGACTTTTATGGGCCCTTTGAAGACGGAAGTATTCACAAGCTGCCCCCTTTTGAAAAGTGGATTAAACAATCTTTCTCCAGAAATCCTGGGAACTGTGGGAAAGTTGGCAAACTACCTGAGAATTATTGCCCCAACAAATGAATGCCAAGTTTACCTTCTAAGTACCAGAAATACAGATTGGCTGACTTTGCAGGACGAGGCTAAAATATAATCAGCTGCTTTGGGGCTGAGTGTGTTGTTGGAACCCCAGAAAGGTGGCCAGTTTGGACTTGACTGTTTTGTGGAAAACCAGCCAGCTGACTTAATTCTGTACTTTGTGCCATCATGGATTTAGCACTCTGAGCTAAACAGTCATTATGGGAAACAGACTGTTAAAGAGAGCAATTCTGTGGAGCTTTTTTTTCCTTCTTCACAATTCTAGTGATGTACAGTACAGATTACTCTTGTCTTGAAATCATTACATTGGTTTGTGTCTGCGCAAGGCACAGAACCACAATGTAAGGCTATATTTCACTTCCTGTTCGATTCCCCAAAGGTGCATCAGAACACCCAGGAACATAAATGTAGCATTTGTCTGCAACACTTTAAAGCAGCCACATCTTTTCCTAGGAAAACACAACTTCTCTAAAGATGCAGCTACTATAAAAAGTTGCAGGCAGGTTTTGTGTTCTTGCCCCTGCATGCTCTGAACCACCTTATAGAAAATAAATTAGAAGCATTGCGTAGCCTTTCCATAAACCAACACACCACATTTTGTTCTAGCATTTTGTGTGAACTCAGCCAATATGGGCAAGGATGGGAAATACACCATTTTGATATCAAGGCATGGGATCGTCATTCCAAGTGCTGAGAAAGGGAGAATTCTTTGTAGGCTTCCGTTTTCTTGGACAGCTTTCTTGTGACATGTAGAGTTAGCAAGGGAGCAAGGCCTTTAACCCAACCAAGGCAACTCTGTGTTGCCATCTTGTTTGGATTGTTATCATCAGCACTGGCTTTACTTTTGTACTGATTTTCTGCCAAGTATTCTGAAGTTTCCTCTGGAAAGGAAAATGGTATACTGTAGTTAAGGATTTAGTAATGTATGGCTGTGGGAGCTGGACCATAAAGAAGGCTGAGCGCCGAAGAATTGATGCCTTTGAACTGTGGTGCTGGAGAAGACTCTTAAGAGCCCCCT